ATTTGCCGACTTTGAAATTCCTGGAATATCATAATCGTACAATTACTTGCGAAATCGGCATGTTCTTTTTTTTTCCCTCTTTCTCTTTCTCTCTCAGCGAGAGACGAGAGAACGTTAGAAGATTTTTAGCCCGGAACAACGTGAACTTTTATTCTTGTTCGGACGATCGAAATGCAAAGTACATACCTGTTTTGCGCGATCCACTTTGGCCTTGCCTGGTTTCCGTTCGAGATTGATAGCCCTGTTTATGAGAGCTCGACAGTGCTCTCAGAAATTTATTGTGTTTTTATCATTTGTACGCAGGTTATGGTATTTGGAATCATCGCTCTGAATTACAGGTGAAGGAGTTCGGGATACAAGTTGCGTTATTTTATTCGAAATGTAACAATGATAGAGACGTGGATGGAAATTACTGTTTAAAAATCTTGGGGGCACTGTCTGCAGAATTTCGCGCGAGGAGTGAATTTTTTTTCAAAATTGGTCGTCATATCGTTTCATCGTACCGTTTCGTGGATCGAGCGTGAAACGCGTGGAATCATTGGTGATTTCAAGGCCTGGCATTTGTCAGTATTACAAGGCAAACGCAGAGTTGCGAAACTTCACGTTGTTGATAGGGTTGCCGCTGTTATCAGATTACCACGGCGTTAAACACCATGCGTGTAGCTCGATAATATTATGCGTTCTCTCTCTAAAAGAATCGCGTAGCCAATCGAATGAAAGAATACACACACAGGTGTGGAATATTCGTGCACTTTCGAACGACGTTTCGGGCATGAGACACAATTAAATGCAGGTGTTCACGTGCTGCCTTGATAATTCTCCCTTGAATCGAGTGTTAATCGTTAAAACGATCAAGTGGGTCAATGACATAATTACACAATCCGCTGTGGCTTAGCTCCTACGTGCATTTATGGGTTTTGTTGGAACAGGCGCGACGCGTTTAAATATAACTACGTAGCCGCGGTATCGTCTCTTTTGCCGCGTCAAAGAAGCAAGGAAGTTTTCTTTCCTTCATTCCGAGTCTCCGTGGGTTGGGGCTTTGCATTTTTGCATTGCTAAAAACTTTTTAGAGAAAAAAGCTCGCAAGTTGGTCGTTTCGATTAAACTGCAGTTTTTTTGTTGGAGTAATAGTGAGTTCACTGACCGCTTGTGTTCATTGCTCGTATTGTGAAAGCAAACGATTGCTAGAAATTATGTAAAAATACTTTATCGTTTTTCGTTAAGATGCTCTGTGTGTCTCCTCTTTATCGCTGCGTGAATTATACAAGTTTTTTTTCTTTATCGTCAAGTTAGGGGGAATAACACGAAGCGATCGATTAAAATAAAGTACGTTATCGGAAAAAATTTTCCTCCCTCCGGAATGAAGTTCATTTGCGAATCTGTGTCGACTTAATCTGTTCCGTTCATTCACTATTCTACGTTAGTCGATCACGCTTTTATTTTCGCCAGCGAAACATTAAATAATTACATTATGATAATAACGAATATGCAACGCTATTCTACGAAAAATAGTAATGGACGAATCAGTATGACACTCAATCTTTTATGTATATCACAAAAAATTGAACTAAAACCTTGTATTCTGTTTGTTACAACATATTCCTTATTTCAACGTTTAAAAACCGGCAGTGACGACACGTGACCTGCTTCGTATTTATATATTTTTCAATAAAGAGTAACATTTATTGAAAAATATTACAGAAGTATCTGTATGTTTTGTGTTCTGCTAAAATATACATACGTATATTTATATAATATATACAGGGTGTTTCAAACTTAAACGGCCAATACGTACAATACTTATAATTCTGTAACAAGTTCGTTTCCTGACGAACTTTATATAATATTTTTTTTTTCTTTTTACGTGGATTAAGTCCTTGTAGTTTGGCTACTCGTTAATATTCGAAAAACATTATTACCTGTATAAATATACATGTAATATATGAACACTCTACTTCTCTTGACAGAACCAAGGAAAAGACAGCTAATTGGACAAATTACTTAATTGCAATTAATTATCAGATCCCTACGTGTGTACTGCCAAGTTAAATACGAAACATATGTATCATTTATACACCACGTACTATACATTAGTCCAACGTACGACACACGTGGTCACGGAGATGCCGATTTCTCGACCATGCGGTAATCTATCAAAGCTCACGGTCGATTTTCGCGTACTTTGATTCTCTGTTCTATCTCTCTCTCTCTCTCTCTTTCTCTCTCGTGTAATCCCCTTCTTCCGAACGAGTGCTCGCGAATCGTCGCGATCGTGCAGCGTGGGTACACGCACGATCGTTTGGATAAAGGGAACGAGGGAACATGCGCGAACATTACGACCTTGGTCCCACGCGGCCATTGGCCGGAACCAAAGGAAGCCGACCGTGATTGGCTGGTTCGCCGAAAACCAGCCGCTCGATCGTTCATGCATGTACGACTGTGTGCGTGTGTAGCACGGAATCTGGCGGCAAAATTCAGCCACAGATAGAGAAAAAGAGAGAGAGAGAGAGAGAGAGAGAGAGAGAGAGAGAGAGGAACTAGCTCGCGCACTCTGCATCGGCGACCTTGTTAGGCCATTGACCGTCGTCGTTTTCGCCCCTTGGCCTCTGCCTTTCTTTGTCACCATACAATACAACAAACAGCCTGTCGCGTTCCCAGCGAATCAACCTCCTTATCTTTTCGCGCGTCTTCCAATGGCGGGACTATGAAACAGCGTGCTATGAAACACTCGCCTATGCATGTACGTATGTACAGGTCGATGAGGAAAGCTGGCTGATGACTTTCTTTCCTTTGGTTTTTGGAGTAGATTTTGCTTGTGAATCGAAATCAAGCTGTTGCGAGGTTAATTCTTATTTGTAGTACATTAGAAAATTGAGTCGATCTTCGAATACCTGAAAGTTGAAATTATTTACTTTTCTGTTTTGTTTTTATCCGGCTATGGTAGAAAAGAGGAATCTCTTTCCTTTGATTTTTGGAGTAGATTTTGCTTATGAATCGAAATCAAGCTGTTGCGAGGTTAATTATTATTTATAGTACATTAGAAAATTGAGTCGATCAGTTATTTCGACTTTCGAGTAGCTGAAAGTTCCTGAAAGTTGAAATTATTTACTTCTTTTTTTGTTTTTATCTGGCTATGATAGAAAAGAGGAATTTCTTTCCTTTTGTTTCTTGGAGCAGATTTTGCTTGTGAATCGAAATCAAGCTATTGCGAGCTTACTTATTATTTATAGCATATTAGAAAATTGAGTCGATCAGTTATTTCGACTTTCGAGTAGCTAAAATTTAAAATTAATTACCTATTTTTCTTCTTTTTTTGTTTTTATCGCAACGGGAATAATAAGGGTCGATTAGAGTTTGATTTACGACTCCGTCATCACACGATATCGGTTGATCTTCGCCATAATTTTATTCGAAGTTCTTCAAACTTCTTCTTCTTTTTTTTTGTCTCGAAGCGCACGTAACTCGCACAGCATTCCAGATTGCTATCATTGCTATAAAAGGCACTCTTTGAAACGAACGTATCCACGTATCCACGTTTGAACGGTAGATTCTATCGCGAAACGTGAATGAAAGATTTGATAAAAATCCAGTGTCATTTTCAATGGAACAGCAACGGGGACATCAGATTTAT